ACCAGGGTGTCTGTCCCTGCAGCACATCGTGGGGTGCTTGGGCACCCTGGGTGCTGCCTGGCACCTGGAGCTTGACACCTTTGAAGCAGCGACTCCCCGGGGCCTGGTGACCTTCACCAATGTGGTGGCCACAGTGGTCCCTGCCGCCCCCCGCCGCCTGGTCCTCGCCTGTCACTATGACACCAAGGTCTTGCCCCCTGGTCCTGGCCAGCAGCTCTTTTTGGGGGCCACCGATTCAGCTGTGCCTTGCGCCATCCTCCTGGAGCTGGCAGCTGCCCTCGACCAGCCCCTGCAGCATGCCAAGGACAGGGTGGGTGATGGGTGGTCCCAGGGCCTGGGTCCCCCCTGAGTCCCTCTGGAGCACCCCAGAACATGCAGCTCTAGGACAACTGGGTCCCTCCTGACCCCTGCCTACCCAGGACACCTGGGGCCCCACCTGGGCCCCCCTGGGATGTCTGGGTCCCCCCTGGACACCAGGATCCCTTCCCAGCTGCTGGACACTGTGGTCCCAGCAGGGTGTGGAGGTGACGCTGCAGCTGCTGTTCCTGGACGGGGAGGAAGCCTTTGGGGACTGGAGCATCACTGACTCCCTCTATGGCGCCCGGCACTTGGCAGCACGTATGGCCACCACCCCCCATGGGCCCCACGGCACCCAGATCACTGCCATGGTGAGTGGCACCAAGCCCCGTGGTGGTGGGGGGCGTCTTGTGGCACCAAAGGGTGATGGGGGGTGGTGTTTGGAGGCACCCAAGCGTGGTGACATGGCAGTGGAGTGGTCTGGTGGCACCCAAGGGTGGTGACATGGCATTGGCCCAGCTGGGACAGTCCCATGGCATCTGAGAGGGTGTCCCTGCACCTGTGCTGGTGTCCCCATGGCCATGCTGGTGTTCCTAGAGCCTGATGGTGCTGCTGGACCTGCTGGGTGCCCACCACCCTGCCATCCACAGCCACTTCCCTCGCACCCACCACTGGTTCCTGCGCCTCGTCGCCATCGGTGGGACATGGGGACAGGGACGCAGGGGTTGGGACTGGGTCAGGATGGGGATGGGTACAAGGGGACGGGGTGGGGACAGGGCTGGGGATGGGCTGGGACATGGGGACATGGATGGGGACAGGGCATAGGTGGGACATGGGGGTGGGGATGGGATCAGGTGGGGACACAGATGGGCGACAAGGTGGGACACAGGGTTGGGGCAGGGATGGAAATGGGGACAGAATGGGGACAGGGAGGAGGCTGGGGGTGTCACAGAAGGTTCTGTCCCCTGTGTCCCTGGCGCAGAGCAGCGGCTACGGCAGGCGGGGGGGGGGGCGGCCCCGCCCCCGGGGCCG